TGTATTATGTTGGGAGGTGTTTACTCTTGGTTGGACACCATATCCTGGCTTAGATCCATCAGGAGTGGTGGATTTACTGAATAATGGAAAAAGACTGAACTGTCCACATAATGAAGCCTGCTCACAAGAAATGTAAGATGCATTAGCACAAGTAGATACATGCCAATTCATTATCATTTCATAGCTTTATACTGATGAGATCATGCTGGCATGAGTATCCTGATGACAGACCAACTTTTAAGGATTTGGTTTCATCAATTAATACTCTCATTGAACCATTGGCTCAATACATTAGTTTACAATGATGTATGTAACTGTACTCTGCATGTGTAGTAATGATTTAGTGTTACTTCTGCTATACTTTTAGTACATGAGTAATATTATTGTTTGGTTACTGAACTATTTCTATCATTTTTAATTGGTGATGCTTCTTCACTTTCTTGCTGTGCTTTCAAAATCTGAGCTGGTTTTCTAATAGTAGTTAATGAATTTTTGTGTCACAGGAATGACATTAAAAATGTATAATCTTTATGGCCTTAGATTATTAAGCACCTCCCACTGCACATTTGCTGGATTTTTCACAATGAGATCAGTTGCTATGTTTCAATTCAGTCTCTTTGTTGCTTACTTTATAGTGACTTTCTATTGGTACCAGATGGTTCTAGGCTTCTAGCACATTTCCCAAATTATTACCCACTCATTGTATTCAATATAGTACAACATTAAGTGTTACTTGTTCCTGTCAAATGAACTGTCTGTTGCATTTTTATCAAATACTTTACAACCACAATCATTATATATACCTCGAAGGAATAGACTGTAATGAAACATTATACAATACTACTATAGAAGGGATACAATATGAAAGGAATTTAAGTTACTGGTCTAACTTTATTGCTAAAGAAGATTCTAACCCTTGTACAATAGGTTAGTAATTATAATTATATTCATGATTTATTCATCATTATCTACTATAGATCCAGTGGTCAGTAGCAGTTCTCCATTAATCAGCAGTACTTCTGTTACTAGTTTTAATATTATGCCTACAGCTTCTATCTCTTCAGATCTATACAACTCCTCAACTCACTTTTTTGCAGTTGAAGTTTATACATATTATATAGACCTACTATATACATGTACTTGTATACATAACATGCATGATTAATGTAGAGTTTTATGTACGATACCATAATCATTACTTGCATGTATTTGGGAATGTATGTGTATGAAACTATTATGTGTTATTTTATCATTAGTTTTATTTTTTAATCAGGCTACTAGGTACTAGGATCACTGAGCTAGAGCACAGATTGAAAGTACTAGAGATATCAGGATTATGGTCAACTCCAGATAATGAAGACGATGACATAGAGAGAGGGAAAACAACCAGCCATTAGCTGGGGGGAGGAGGAGGAGGAGGGAGAGGAGGAGGTGGTTTTGGTAGAGGAAGATAAGAATGGATCATCAGTGCAAGGTATAATGTATACATGTAAGCAAAAATAATCATATAAAAATATTGACACTTATGTCATTGACAGCTAATAAGAACAAAATAAGGACAGTGTGAATAGTAATGTTGTGATAGTATACAAATTTGTACATGTATATACTGATTGGGGGCACACTTGCAACTGGTTTCCAAGACCTTTAATGGGCCTTTTAGATAGTATTCTCTCTTTATATTATATAAGTTAGGTTTAGCATGTAGGGGGCGTTTATAGTCCTGCTCTAAGCTACTCTGTTTAATATTGGCTTTTCTCTTTTATTCATATTAAATAAAAATAACAATGATGGTGCATTATTTCACTGACAGTTAATAAGAACAAAAACTAAGAAAAATAGTAATAAGAATATATAAAAACAATAAAATCAGAACAAAAATATCAATATTAATCAATCAATGATACTACATATCAGTTATTACTTAGCTATAGATTGTCAATGGCAGCACCAATCAGTAGACACTAATTGCAGTACAACTTCTTTTTTTGAGGCAAAACTGGACACAAAGTCCATAGGGCAAAAGGCAATGATGCTATTGACAGTTCATAAGAACAAGGACAATAGCAGTAGCAGCATTAACATCCCTCCTGTTGCTTTAAGAGTAGCTGTATAGGAGAATGATTAAATTAAAACTAACATAAAAATAATGAATTATACTTACAAGCTCCACCAGGAGAAGGTGTATCAGGTCCATCAGTAGTAGGTGGTGGAGTAGAAGTAGTAGAAGGTAGGATAGAAAAAGTTGGGGTTTTAGTATCAGGAGAACTGGTACTTGAAGGAGATATTTCTAATGAGACATTGGAGTAAGGTTCAGTTTATTAGTAATTACCTAGAGATTCGGAAGGGCTCGAAACTGACGTTGATGGATCGATAGTATTGCATGTGGAATCAGTTATTGCTGTTGTGAGAGATCATACATATCAAAACCAAATAGAATAATTTAACTTACTTATGTTAAATTTTAAGTAACAGCTACACATAGAGCTAGAACTGTTTAAACATAGAACAAGTGTACTTTGATTTCCAAATTGTGCCAGGTAACTAGACACATTCAAGCACACCTTACTATTAGAGAAAGAAGCTGTATCATTACAAAAAAGTTGGTTACTTGTGCTATTATAGCACTGGTAAGAAAGAGGTGCTGTATAATAATGAATACAGTTTTGTCCTGGAGTAAAAATGTCTTTGTAATAATACTCTTCATCAATCTCAACCATTCTAATGTCTGTACAGAATTGCATTTCAATGCAGTTATCTTCACATGAGAGGGTAACATGAGATGCTACAGGAAAATATGACTTGTTAGATTTCATATCAACATAATTCATCACTTACCTTCATGATTTCCAATGAACAAGGTTGAAAGCATTAATAAGATTGTCAGTTTCATTGTGGTAAAATATGGTTGCTGTGGTAAGCTGGCAACCGTAAATACACTGTACATAGCTAATTCTAATGCTCATTATATAACTCAAAAGAACAAAGCTGGGCGAGGCCAATGACTGTTCATTCATGTGACTGTGACTGTTCATTCATGTGACTGTGACTATGACATAATTCTAATTTTAGAATTTTCCCAATTATAATTCTAATTATAGACTTTAACCATTTAACAGTTATTTTATTTTAAAGTGTCTTACTCGTTGCAATTGGGTTACGCAAACTGCTTGTAATTCTATCAGTATCGATTATTCTTTTAGAAAAGATGCAACAAGTCTTCTCATTATTATGTTTTGTTCAGACATTTTTTGTTTGTTGGTAAGAAATTAATCTATTGATTGCATTATTTTGTGTTCATTTTTTTAGTTTTGCTGCATATTTCACAAACCAACCAGCTGGAACAACCTATGCCTTGATAAACAGCACTGTAAAGATTGACTGTGCTATTTCTGGATCCACATTCATTCCTCTATGGAAAATTAATGGTACTATTTATGATATTTACACTGATCCACCGAATGGAGTCAGTTATGTTCCTGATGGATTATTAATCCATCATGTATCATTACATTGGAACTTCACTTCATTTCAATGCTATATATTTGGTTTATCATCAACCATTGGATATCTTTATGTACTAAGTAAGTCCCTAATATTTGTATAGTTATTCTATTAAATTCATAGTAATACCAGACATCAGTTCTACAATTATTTCAACAGGCAGTTCATCATATTTTCATTCAGACTTTACCTCCAGCACACCATTAATGTCTTCATTCATCCCTAATGTGACAATAATATCATTAAGTTCTCATTCACACATAATTTTAACATCTTTTTCACTTTCTATGTCTCCCCAGTCACTCAATGGCTCACCATTAAAAACTCTAGCAGGATCCTCTGATATAAACAATATAACAATAGATTCAATACTCTACAGTACTGAGATGCTGATGATGTCATCTTCTATTAATACTCCAATGGTTATTGAAAGTATTAAAAGTAGCAGTTTTGGGAATGAGACTACAGTTGGGAATAGTCACAATGTGAGAGTTATCTTTATTTCGGCTGTTGTTTCATCAATTTGTGCAAGTAAAGTCCATTGTATGGTAGTAAATGTTATTTTTTTCCTAAATTACAAGGTCTATTGATGATAGCTGCTATGTGCCTTATTGTTTTTGCTCTGGTTAGAAAGAAAAGAAAAGGTATATTATATTGAAAGTTGATTGCAATGAATATGGTGTATTATTAACACAAGCAATTCATTTTGCATATGTACTGTGCTAAAAGGCACTGATATATCATAATATGATTATAGTGCATATCACTCTGTTTGAGATCATTTTATTTATTTATCGTTTCTAGAAAAGAAGTCCACAAAAACATTTTCTGAGTCTAATCCAGTTTATGATGAGCCAGTTCATGAAAATATCCAGTAAGTGGTGGGTCTATACTCAGTATTATAGTGTTTATGTATTTGTTAGGTTTAATCCATCTTATGGGTTGGTCAGAGGGCCTGTGAGGTCCACTGTCAATCCAGTGTATGAAGAAATTAACTTAACTTAAGGACAAACAATAAAGTTTCTTTAAGGTTTTCATAATAATAGTACATGTACCATACATGTAATGCCATGCATGCAAGTGTCACCACTCACCACAGTTTAAATGGGTCAGGCATAAGATAATATTAATTTCCATGGTCATATTTTTACTAAAATTAATTTTTTTAAAATTACCTACTATAATTATAGTTGATTTCTAAGTAACATGTTTTTCACGTTCTCATTAATTATAATAACAAAACTACAAAAATATAAGACTGTAGTTTATAGTCAGCATCAAATTGTTCAATAATTAAAAAAATAAAACCAACATTGTCATTAAAAATGTAATACCAAGCGTTGGGTTGTGGCTACCTGCAGCTGTAATAATAGAGTAGAATAGTAGATATAGACTACTGATTAGATATACTGGTTTAGACTGACCATAATTTCCTTGACTAGTTGTAGAAGGGCCACTAGTTGTGGTTGTAGAAGGCCCACTCGAACTAGTTGTAGAAGGTCCATTAGGTGTAGTTGTAGAAGGATCACTAGGACTAGGAGCATTAGTAGATGATGGAGTAGAATTGCTTAGGCTGTCATTATTTGTCATAGAAGTTGTAGAAAGACTTGGATCTGAAGTTTGAGTAGAAGTACTTGAACTCATTTTAATGTCACTGACTACAACATAACGCACCATAATGAATGATAAATTTGTTGGAAATTAATTTTTACTTTTAGCTATTGTGTATGATTCCGTTTTATCTTGAAATTGAACAGAAATGTTGAGAGTCTCAGGAGTACCAAGCATTGTTATGTTGATACATAAATCAGTGGGTGATTTGCTAAGATCTGTGGTACAATTACACATTGCTACAGTAACTACAGTTGTTGATGATTTATAGACAAAGTAAGACACTCCGGTAGCAATGAATTCATGGTAATCAACTTCATAAATACTTATTGCCCAAGGAGGACTATTGCAGACAGCAGTAAAGCATAGTAGGTCTGAATTGTTAGATCCATATAGCTTAGTTGTATTTTGAGGTGGTGTTAACTTGTAGCCCCATCTATTTGAAAAGTCTGAACTATCATTATCACCAGTGAAAAGTAGACACAACAGAGTAATGATTCTGAAAATGGTCTTCATCCTAGCCCCACCTCTAAACTAGGGATTTAATAATTGTAATAACTATCTAGTCTAGTCTAGATCTAGATTCTATATCTAGGCTACATGAAGCTCATCACCATCATTATGTTTCTACAGATTCTATTTATGGCTGTTAGTTGGTAAGGATTCTGGATGTAAAATTGTAAATGACTTGTATTTTGTCATTCCATAAATTGCCATTTTACTATTAGCTATGCTGCCTCTTTCTTAAAGGAGCCAGCTCCTACTACAAATGCTGTTATAAATGGAAGTGCAAAGATAGACTGTGTTATTACTGGATACAAATGGAAAGTTCCATTTTGGATAATTAATGGTACACAGTACTACCCAAAAAGCAAGAGAAATCCTTTACCGGCTGGTGCAAGCACTCTTTCTAATCACAGTGTGTTATTGATTGATCCAGTGTCAATGGCATGGAACAATACTTCATTTCAATGTCGAATTTTAGGAAAAAATATAAAATCAAGTATTGGCTATTTATTTGTTTACTGTAAGTTAATTTGTCAAGCTATTAAATGTACTGTCTTTTTGTAATTTATAGATCCAGACGATCTTGGGATGCTTGATAGCTCAACTGTAAAACATGTTATAAGCAGTTCACTAGCTGTTCCATTGACAAAGAAATCTTGCTATAAATCTACTATGCCCATTGAAGTAGAAGCATCACTAAATGATTTGTCTTTACATTATGGTATGCACAATGAGTTTATGTATTGCTCAGTGAATGATAATATTGATAGTGCCAACTTCTGTTGACTATGAGCTGTCTATTTCATCAAGTTCCATGTATTCAATGTCTGAAGGAAGTCTTAATTCTGAAATTGAACAGACCCAAGGGACCAATGGTGTTGACCATGTTGATATGAGATTTGTTTATGTTATCACTCCTGTATTAGTAACAGGTAAGTCTTGTTTGTATCTTAAGCCTCATCATGAGAATAACAGTTATGCAGACTTAAATTTGTTTGTGTGTAATTATTTACCTATACTATACTGATTTCATAATTATTTTTATTATTATTGTAAACATTAAGGCACATGTCTCTTTATTGTTGTGACTTTGGGGATTTCATTGAGATGCTATTACATCAAAAAAGGTGAGGACAAAATTTATGATTCAAATAAAATTTGAATGTCCTTTTAGTGAAAAAGAAAAACACAGCAACTTCATCTAATGAAGAGCATGCTATTTCCAGAAATGAGCCATTCCTCTCTTCAATTCAGAGGGATGAAGTACATCATAATCCAGCATATGGCATAGTAGAAAGAAGAACAGGGATTATGTGTATCAACCAAGCTTATGGTTTGGTTACTGGACACAATGATGAATCCAGATTGAGGCACAATCCAGCTTATGGTGTGATCAGACTTTAAATTTAGTGTATGAAGTTACTGTTGCCCATTATAATATTTTCTGTCAAGTTAACAATGCTAAATATAGATCTAAGATTAGTTATATGCAGAGATTTATAAATGCATCAAATTTTTCTTAGGTATTATATTTGGACTAAAAATGACTTACTAAGTGTTTCAGATAAGGATAGAGTACCTATTGACGTATTATTGGTGTCTGGTAGCTTACAACAAGGCCTTAGTGTTGTTCTTACATGTGAAATTGAAAGTTCTCAAGGTATACAACAATTAATAGCATTCATTGTATAAACAAACATGTTTTTCAATACAGGCAAATTTGCCAATGTTTCCTAGCTTGCAGCATTTTCAATATGGTATATCTGAACTGTCAGTGGTGTTTAACTCTACTCAGCTAGCACTTCCCTTTAACCTAACTGTTCAGCTTTTTGCAGTTGATACTTTAATGGCATCACAAGTCAACATGGCTTTTGGTATAAAAAGAACAAACATTGTACTCGATCCTCTAACAACAGCGTCAAGCATGACTTTGACAAAAACTAGCTCTAGTACTCCTGGATTAACAGTGATGACAACTTCCATGATGGAGTCAAGAAGTTCTACAATCCAGTCAACAGTCACTTCATCAACAACAATGACAACAAGCACTCCTGTTGTATCTTGTCCAGTTAACAGTTCAGGCACAATCACAAACAATTTATATTTAATATTAGTTTTAGCCATAGCTGCAGCTTATTTGTATTAACTTTATGCAGATCTATATTATTAGCTTTTCTATAATGATAGTCTTGTAATCATAAACATTGCATTTGACTGTGGTAGGTAGACCTAGTTGCTGAGGTATGCATCAATAATATCCATCAATACAATTCCTTATTACTAACAAAGCACATGACCGCAAAATAATAGAAACTCCAGTGAC